ACACACACACACACACACACACACGTGACAGATTAGTAAAGTTGTTTTTGGTTTTCTTCTCTCAGGTGGATGTTGAGGTGTTTCGTCACAAACGTAGACTGAAGTATGAGAAGAGTTTTCAGTCGCTTGTGTTCGTTGAATAATTTACAGTCTCTTCTCTCTGTGGTTGAACCCACCGCTCTTCCTGAGGTAGCGGATGTGGAAGCCGTGGTTCCTGTCTCGCTCTCCAGGGACCCAGCTCAGGTTGAGCGATGTGTTGCCCTGGACGATGGTGACGTTCGATGGAGGAACTGGAGGAAGAAAGAAAACAATCAGCGTAAAGGAAAAGAGAAAGGTAATAAAAGCACTTGACTCTATTTACACAAAAAATGTAGTGTCACCTCCGTCGAGCAGGGTGGCACCTCTCAGGGTGATGGCCGGGCCGTCACCGGTGGCGGTGCGGGCTATAACTTTGAAGAAGTAACTGCTGTTGGGATCCAGAGGGTCCAACACGATGTGAGTCACATTGGAATCACTGATGAACTCCATCTGCAGCGGACTGTCTCCGCTCTCCACCTCTACAGGCCAAGTGACAAACCCACATGCTTTAAAGTTCGCTGCTGAACATTGGAGATAAACTCTGGTTGATAATAACTTCTCAGTGTTTTGAACTGATCTCAGTTCAGCTTCACTCTTCAACAGGAGCTGAACCCCCCCCCCCCCGCAGCTAGGAAACATCCTCCTGGTTCCATATGTGAACGAATGAGTGATGATGAGGTGTCAAACAAGGCCGTAACAACACTTCTGTATTTCTCTCAAGTGAGAATATTTTTTTACATCTTGATATTTGTTAAAGTAACATTAGCTCCTCCCCACACAGGTGTTTATTTCTTATTTTTTTAGACGTTACCTTGTTGGTACTGCACCATGTATCCCAGCAGGTTCCCATTGATTTCAACCGGAGGCGTCCAGTAGAGAATCAGTGATTTCTCTGTCGGGCTCTTAAACGTCAGTGATGCAGGAGGACCCGGAGCTGGACACACACACACACACACACACACACACACACACACGGGATAGGTTAGTGACACAGGTCCGACATGTGACTGACGTGTTGGTCTATACACAACCGATCACGGGTCGGTCTCAGCTGTCAATCATGACGTCAAACCACTGATTCAAACCAAACGGATCAGAACCACTTGAACAAACGACAAGAACGACCTGAAATGACAGAAACCATCTTTGCCAAACATTTACATGGAGGAGGCTGGGTTCATGACCTGTGCCGCAGCCAGCCACCAGGGGGAGATCATGACACTTTGGCTTCACTTTTAGGGGCCGTCATGTCGTCCATCTTTACTTTAGTCTTTGTGTTTGTTGTGTAAAGTTTTAACGTCAGTGCTGAGACCCACCTCCCTCTGGCGTGCTGAAGCGGTGAGGCAGCGACTGGGGCCCCTCCCCTTTGCTGTTGAAGGCTGTGACGGACAGCTCGTACGAGGAGAACAGCTGCAGCCCCGTCACTTCCTTTGACGTCGTCCTGCCATGGACGACCACCACCCTGCTCGCTGTGTCTTTCTCCGTCCCTCGGTCCGGCCTCTCCCCTCTTTCGTCTCCGTGGTGCGGTTTCCCCAGAGACCTCCGGCCCCGCCCAACCTGGGGGCCCAACCTCCTGATGTAGATCTGACGGAGAGGGAGGAAACAAAACTGAATTCATGTGGTTTGATGCATCACTGTTGGAATTTATCATGATTAACCAGGTTTTTTAAAATTCAAATGAAAGTAAATGTTGATGTTTGATGCTTTTATTTCATTTTGAATCATAAGAAAAAGAAAGATCGATTTATAATCAACTAATCAAATCTGAACAAAAGCTCCGGGGTAAAAACCAGTGAAGCTCAAAACTGTAGCATCACATTCTTCCATCTTCTCATCAAACTCAGGATTAAAAAAGTTTCGCTAAGAGAAATAGAATGAATTGTGACGGCTTCAGTGTCCTGTCTGTCCCTCACCAGCAGGTGGCGTGTTGTAATCTGAGGACGGGCTGGGGGTCAGTGTGAACATGTGATTCATTATTTAAAAGAAGCCACTCAAAGACAGACAAACCTGCAGAGTTTAAAAAGTGAGGTTTAAATGAATGGTCCCAACAAACTTAACTTTACTCAGTAGAGCTGTAACTGAACCAGCGAGCTTCAGTGACTGGTACCTTGTATCCCAGCAGCAGCCCTCGGACGCTCTGTGCTTCGCTCCACTTGACTCTGACGGTGCTGTTCATCACCGTTGTCTCCACTCCGGTCGGCGCCTCCTGAGGTTCTGAGAGGAAGAGTGAGAGGAAGAGGAGGCATCAAGTTTCCAGGAGGAATAAAAAACATTCATCACATGTGAATCAAAGCTGCAGCAGCAACAACTTCATGTATCTCGTGAGACGTACTGTCCTCTCCGGAGTGTCCGATCTCTGGTTCCGGTGGTGGTCCTTCTCCGAGCGAGTTGACGGCCTGGACTTTGATCTCGAACGGTGCGTACGTTCCTGTGTCGTTCACCAAGAACGGTGGAGACCTGACGTAGCTGTGGTTCCAGTGCACGCTCTTTCCCCCGGCCTCCCGCCACGACACCTTGTACTGGAAGTCCTGGCCGTTGTGTAGATGCTTGTCCATCTCCTGCAGAGCAGAGGAAGAGGTGGAGAACGTGTTTGGATACTTTAGTAAAAGTAATAATCCAACGATGTACAAATATACTCACAAATTACTCCAGAACAAACCTTTTCATGTTGTGATGTATAGATTATATCATCGGATCGTTTTAGGACATTCAGCAACAACGAACAAGCATTGATTTTTCTTTGGAAACAGACGTTCTTACTGCTCAGCTGGGTTTTGTCTCGTTGGTTAGATAAAGTAACTAAGGTTTTAAATGTAGTTTATTTCTGTGGTGGACTAAAGTATCCGAGTCAAACAGGAATCTTCAAGTAAAGTACAAAAGTCTCAATGTTGTTTTCATAGACCTACGCAGGTCTGATGATTTTATTTTTCCCGTAAATACTTCAGAACATAAATATATATGAAAGGACGACTTACATTCCATGTGATGATCAGAGTCTTTGGGTCTGTGGAGTCACTGCGGACACCGTCGGGGTTAGTGGCAGGAACTGGAGGAGGAGATAAGAACAGCACCTTTCAAAACAAGTTGTAACAAAGACAGTTTGACAGTAACGCTTCATTTCTCACACCTCTCTCACAGCCTGTTAGCTTAGCTTAGCACAAAGACTGGAGACAGGGGGAAACAGTTAGCCTGGCTCTCTCCAAAAACTCAAAATAAGTTACCCTTACTTATAAGTCCCAGTATTTATTAGGCCTGTTGTTATGTAACATTGAAATGATTTGAACTCAGGAACTTGATTTCACTCATTATTAGTGTTGCTGTTGTTTTTAAAACGACGTGTATATATAACCAGCTGGACCGTCGTGTGTCTGACTCACCAGCAGGTGACGTGCTGTGCTTATCCGAGGCCTTGCTGGGGTGGCTGTGGCCGATCTCGTTGATGGCGATGACCCGGAAGCGGTAGGTGCAGTAGGGGTAGAGCGTCAGCTGCAGGTGGTTGAAGTCTGCCGGTACCCTCTTCCACTCCACCCACTCCCACTTCCCCTCCTCCTTGTGCTGCTCCTCCCGGAACTGCACCATGAACTCTGAGGGAACAACACACGTGACCTCACCCCTGACCCTCACCCCTGACCCTCACCCCCATCTTGAAAAAGAGTGTGTCCCTGTGTATGTGTGAACTCGTGTGTTACACACCTATGATGGGGCTGTTGTGTGACTGTCCCGGGATCCAGCTGAGTGTGATGCTGTGGTCCTCCACGTCGGACAGAGACAGGTCTTTGGGGGGATCGGGTGGTGCTGAGGGTCCGATCAGAAAACTGTTAGTGTTGAACGTCAAACAGTCACACCTGCTACACACAACGTCACACACACACACACACAACGTAATACACACACACAGCGTAACACACGGCAACGCACCCACGACGGTGATGGAGCCGTTGGCTTGCACGTTGTCCAGGTCAGTGATGACTTCACATGAATATTGCGCCGTGTCTTCTGATTGGACGTCCGTCACTTTCAACGTTCCATTATTGAAGAAAGTGTACCTACACACACACACACACACACACACACAGATATCCAATTAATTGTGTATATTTGTATTTGTAGGTCAACAATAAGTCAGACTCTGGAATACATTTTATTTATAGTGAAAATAATGATTCTCTTATTTCTTTTCTTCCTCCCTCCTCATCCCTTCTTTGTTCTCTGGGTCATTCATTTAATTTTTTAGTTCGGTCCATGTCCCATCTGCTAACATGGAGGAGTCGGGTTAGTGACGTATTCTGCAGCTTTGGCTTCACTTGAAGGATTCGTCACATCGTCCATCTTTGTCTAGAGTCGGTGGGTTAGTTTCACCACCAGGGGGCCCCCTGGGGTCACGGGTTGAAGTGAGGTGCTTGAACTTTGTGTGTGTGTGTGTGTGTGTGTGTGTGTGTTTACTTGTCGCTCTCTGACGTCTCCTGTAGTTTCTGTCCGTCTTTCTTCCAGACGATCTGGTAGTTGAGCAGCTGAGGGTCCCGGTAGAAGCGGCAGTCGAGCAGAGCGCTGGTTCCTCGGAGAACACGGACGTCCTGCGG